AGGTAACTAAAGCAACCTCAGCTCCGCTGACTCCGCCCCCAACAAAGGCTGAAACTTGTTTCTGTCAGCCCTGTTCTTCCTGGAACGCATATCTCTGAAGTTCTCCGAATAAAGAGGCGTCCGTCTTACCTGCGCCATCACTTTGCTCCTCCACAGTGTCTTTTTTTAAAGCTACCACCAGGAGACGCCAACGTGTGAAGATTTTAAAATGCTCAGAGAAGTGATGGGAAAAGTGACTCATGTGTGAAAATGAACGAATTGCTCCCTCAGACTACTCATTCCTCCTGAGTCACATACAAGATTAGGTCAAATGAAGGAAACGTTCTTTGAACGATGCAACACCAGGCAGCTTTAAGCGTCTAATGCTCAGTGCGGAATATACGACTTTCAGCGACGGCAGGTCGACTTGTTGTTTTGTGACGGGAGTCTTGACGTCGTGATTGTAAGTCGCTTTGGTTTGGGGACCAGATATAAAATGTAATGTGTTCACGCTACACATTTAGATTACATTTAATATCTACATGTCAGAGGTCGCACACTACGAGGGGTTAAGTGTCTCGCAGGGACACAATGGTGGATGTGTCACAGGGGGGAGTTGAACCCGGGTCTCTCTCACCAAAGGCATGTGTCTTATCCACTGCACCATCACCACCCCATGAGCTGACAACGTCACACGACAACTCTATCCGGTCCCCAAACCAGGTTTTTTATGATAATGAGGATAAAATTTCTGAAGACGTCTTTATAAATCTTGGTGACACTTGGTGTCTGAGCCGCAGAGTAAAAGGTGTTTTGTAGTAGAAATATCTGCCTGCTGTCATTGGCTGGATGTGGATGTTGATTCGGCTGACGGCTCCAGATATTGAGCATGCTGGGTATCTGGCTGGTGTCGCCGATGCGTCGGTGAGCCTCTTCACACAACGACTGGCGAAAGGCGATTGATCGCCCGTTTGCCAGCCCGACTGTCGGCGAGCTTGGTGAAATCTGACTTAGAATTGTGTAGCGTGAACTAGAGTCCTCTCTGTCCCGCCGTTGTCACGGACACGTGAACTCACCGCAGAGGCGGTTTCACTTCGGCTCATTCGACGTTGCGTCGCAGCTGCAGGTGTTCCCTCTCACATTAACACACCTGCTTTGTTTGACCTTTGACCTCCTCTTCACTGCATGTATCAGCTGTCACTCTGCTTCCTGTTTTCTCTCCTATCAGGTTCATGACAGACCTGCTCCTCCCACTAAGCCACTCCCCCCTGACCCCACCCTAAAACCCCTGCCGCAGGTAACGTCACCTGACCTCACCTGGAGGCGCTAACGTCTGTGTTGCTGCTGCTAACAGCTCATTCTCTGTTTGTGCGAGTGTGTTTGTCGTCCTCGTGCTGTGACTGTTGTCCTGGTCCAGGTGTGTCGTAGAGTCCTTTAGTCTGAGGTCTTCACAGGTCCGAATCTTTGGACCCGATCTGAACGCATCACAGTGCAAAATGACACAAGTCTGGAGGGTAGATGTTTGGATCCTGCTGTGTAGAGACACCTCGGATACGTTCAGGTCTTACTGACACAGACCTGAGATCTGCGTTAACACATCACCGACCTGATTAAGACTCCACGCCATGGCCTGACGTGCACCGCCCCAAAACTACACGTCACGACGCCTTCTCTCTTTCTGCGTTTTAGTTATTTCATTAAAGCTGCGTTCAGACTGCAGCCAAAGTGACCCAATCAGATTTTGACACCCTTTTTTAAGCTTTAAGCTTGTACGTAGGGGCCCAAACTCCAAACACAAATATATATTTGAGTTACTTTGAGTTACTAAGTTACTGATGATATGCGTGTCGACCGGTTAACCCTACAGCTGCGCACATCGACCTCCTTCGTGTTGCTGTGCATTACCACCGCCACTCCAGCAGATGGCGCTGTCGCAAAAGAACTGCGGTCCCAGGATTGCAGGGGTCCTGAAACTGCAGCCTCTAGTGGTGCAGCTACATAATATTGTTTGTAGCAGCCTACACCAACGAAGAAGAAGAAGCTCCACACAGTGGAACATAGAAACCACACCTAGCGTTTTGCCAGTGTTACTGCAGAGTGACGCAGACACCAACGCACAGGTGGCCTCAGACTGGAGAGCATTTGGACCTGGTGTGACTCTGGTCCCAGTAGACGGTTCTCAGAAACGGACGGACCTGTGAAGACCGAAAGGCTGAAGAACCAGTGAAAACACGTGTCGATGTGTCTGTGTGTGAAATTAAAGCTATAGTCCAGAAGAGACGTAACAGGACTCGGACCTCTCTGTGTCAGAATGTTTCAATGCGATGACACAAAGAGGGATAAACTGCTGCTCCAGCAGGTGGCGCTGTGATTAACTTCACCACCTTACCTGGAAACTATCTCTGCTCGACTGCTGAGTGACCCTGAGCCCTGATCAGAAGGCTCTAATGCTGCTGCTCTAATGTGTTAACAGCGACCTGCCCCCCCCAGCAAGCCTCTGCCCCCCGACCCTCCCAGCCAGGTACAGTCGCCGCTACCTGTAGTGTGGCAGTGTTACCTGTAGTGTGGCAGTGTTACCTGTAGTGTGGTAGTGTTACCTGTAGTGTGGCAGTGTTACCTGTAGTGTGGTAGTGTTACCTGTAGTGTGGCAGTGTTACCTGTAGTGTTACCTGTAGTGTGGCAGTGTTACCTGTAGTGTTACCTGTAGTGTGGCAGTGTTACCTGTAGTGTTACCTGTAGTGTGGCAGTGTTACCTGCTGTGTTACCTGTAGTGTGGCAGTGTTACCTGTAGTGTGGCAGTGTTACCTGTAGTGTGGTAGTGTTACCTGTAGTGTGGTAGTGTTACCTGTAGTGTGGCAGTGTTACCTGTAGTGTGGCAGTGTTACCTGTAGTGTTACCTGTAGTGTGGTAGTGTTACCTGTAGTGTGGCAGTGTTACCTGTAGTGTGGCAGTGTTACCTGTAGTGTGGTAGTGTTACCTGTAGTGTGGCTGTGTTACCTGTAGTGTGGCTGTGTTACCTGTAGTGTGGCTGTGTTACCTGTAGTGTGGCTGTGTTACCTGTAGTGTGGCTGTGTTACCTGCTGTGTTACCTGTAGTGTGGCAGTGTTACCTGTAGTGTTACCTGTAGTGTGGCAGTGTTACCTGTAGTGTGGCAGTGTTACCTGTAGTGTTACCTGTAGTGTGGCAGTGTTACCTGTAGTGTTACCTGTAGTGTGGCAGTGTTACCTGTAGTGTGGCAGTGTTACCTGTAGTGTGGCAGTGTTACCTGTAGTGTGGCAGTGTTACCTGTAGTGTGGCAGTGTTACCTGTAGTGTTACCTGTAGTGTGGCAGTGTTACCTGTAGTGTTACCTGTAGTGTGGCAGTGTTACCTGTAGTGTTACCTGTAGTGTGGCAGTGTTACCTGTAGTGTTACCTGTAGTGTGGCAGTGTTACCTGTAGTGTTACCTGTAGTGGGCAGTGTTACCTGTAGTGTTACCTGTAGTGTGGTAGTGTTACCTGTAGTGTGGCAGTGTTACCTGTAGTGTGGTAGTGTTACCTGTAGTGTGGCAGTGTTACCTGTAGTGTGGCAGTGTTACCTGTAGTGTGGCTGTGTTACCTGCTGTGTTACCTGTAGTGTGGCTGTGTTACCTGCTGTGTTACCTGTAGTGTGGCAGTGTTACCTGCTGTGTTACCTGTAGTGTGGCAGTGTTACCTGCTGTGTTACCTGTAGTGTGGCAGTGTTACCTGCTGTGTTACCTGTAGTGTGGCTGTGTTACCTGTAGTGTGGCTGTGTTACCTGTAGTGTGGCAGTGTTACCTGTAGTGTGGCAGTGTTACCTGTAGTGTTACCTGTAGTGTGGTAGTGTTACCTGTAGTGTGGCAGTGTTACTGCTGTGTTACCTGTAGTGTGGCAGTGTTACCTGCTGTGTTACCTGTAGTGTGGCAGTGTTACCTGCTGTGTTACCTGTAGTGTGGCAGTGTTACCTGCTGTGTTACCTGTAGTGTGGCAGTGTTACCTGCTGTGTTACCTGTAGTGTGGCAGTGTTACCTGCTGTGTTACCTGTAGTGTGGCAGTGTTACCTGCTGTGTTACCTGTAGTGTGGCAGTGTTACCTGCTGTGTTACCTGTAGTGTGGCAGTGTTACCTGCTGTGTTACCTGTAGTGTGGCAGTGTTACCTGTAGTGTGGCAGTGTTACCTGTAGTGTGGCAGTGTTACCTGTAGTGTGGCAGTGTTACCTGTAGTGTGGCAGTGTTACCTGTAGTGTGGCAGTGTTACCTGTAGTGTGGCTGTGTTACCTGTAGTGTGGCAGTGTTACCTGTAGTGTGGCAGTGTTACCTGCTGTGTTACCTGTAGTGTGGCAGTGTTACCTGCTGTGTTACCTGTAGTGTGGCTGTGTTACCTGTAGTGTGGCAGTGTTACCTGTAGTGTGGCAGTGTTACCTGTAGTGTGGCAGTGTTACCGGCAGTGTTACTGTAGTGTGGCAGTGTTACCTGTAGTGTGGCAGTGTTACCTGCTGTGTTACCTGTAGTGTGGCAGTGTTACCTGCTGTGTTACCTGTAGTGTGGCAGTGTTACCTGTAGTGTGGCAGTGTTACCTGCTGTGTTACCTGTAGTGTGGCAGTGTTACCTGTAGTGTTACCTGTAGTGTGGCAGTGTTACCTGTAGTGTGGCAGTGTTACCTGCTGTGTTACCTGTAGTGTGGCAGTGTTACCTGCTGTGTTACCTGTAGTGTGGCAGTGTTACCTGTAGTGTGGCAGTGTTACCTGCTGTGTTACCTGTAGTGTGGCAGTGTTACCTGTAGTGTTACCTGTAGTGTGGCAGTGTTACCTGTAGTGTGGCAGTGTTACCTGTAGTGTGGCAGTGTTACCTGTAGTGTGGTAGTGTTACCTGTAGTGTGGCAGTGTTACCTGTAGTGTTACCTGTAGTGTGGCAGTGTTACCTGTAGTGTGGCAGTGTTACCTGCTGTGTTACCTGTAGTGTGGCAGTGTTACCTGTAGTGTGGCAGTGTTACCTGCTGTGTTACCTGTAGTGTGGCAGTGTTACCTGTAGTGTGGCAGTGTTACCTGTAGTGTTACCTGTAGTGTTACCTGTAGTGTTACCTGTAGTGTTACCTGTAGTGTGGCTGTGTTACCTGTAGTGTTACCTGTAGTGTTACCTGTAGTGTGGCAGTGTTACCTGCTGTGTTACCTGTAGTGTGGCTGTGTTACCTGTAGTGTGGCTGTGTTACCTGCTGTGTTACCTGTAGTGTGGCAGTGTTACCTGCTGTGTTACCTGTAGTGTGGCTGTGTTACCTGTAGTGTGGTAGTGTTACCTGCTGTGTTACCTGTAGTGTGGCAGTGTTACCTGCTGTGTTACCTGTAGTGTGGCAGTGTTACCTGCTGTGTTACCTGTAGTGTGGCAGTGTTACCTGCTGTGTTACCTGTAGTGTGGCAGTGTTACCTGCTGTGTTACCTGTAGTGTGGCAGTGTTACCTGCTGTGTTACCTGTAGTGTGGCAGTGTTACCTGTAGTGTGGCAGTGTTACCTGTAGTGTGGCAGTGTTACCTGTAGTGTGGCAGTGTTACCTGTAGTGTGGCAGTGTTACCTGTAGTGTGGCAGTGTTACCTGTAGTGTGGCAGTGTTACCTGCTGTGTTACCTGTAGTGTGGCAGTGTTACCTGCTGTGTTACCTGTAGTGTGGCAGTGTTACCTGCTGTGTTACCTGTAGTGTGGCTGTGTTACCTGTAGTGTGGCAGTGTTACCTGTAGTGTGGCAGTGTTACCTGTAGTGTGGCAGTGTTACCTGCTGTGTTACCTGTAGTGTGGCAGTGTTACCTGCTGTGTTACCTGTAGTGTGGCAGTGTTACCTGTAGTGTGGCAGTGTTACTGCTGTGTTACCTGTAGTGTGGCAGTGTTACCTGTAGTGTTACCTGTAGTGTGGCAGTGTTACCTGTTGTGTTACCTGTAGTGTGGCAGTGTTACCTGTAGTGTGGCAGTGTTACCTGTAGTGTGGCAGTGTTACCTGTAGTGTGGCAGTGTTACCTGTAGTGTGGTAGTGTTACCTGTAGTGTGGTAGTGTTACCTGCTGTTACCTGTAGTGTGGCAGTGTTACCTGTAGTGTGGCAGTGTTACCTGCTGTGTTACCTGTAGTGTGGCAGTGTTACCTGTAGTGTGGCAGTGTTACCTGCTGTGTTACCTGTAGTGTGGCAGTGTTACCTGTAGTGTGGCAGTGTTACCTGTAGTGTTACCTGTAGTGTTACCTGTAGTGTGGCTGTGTACCTGTAGTGTTACCTGTAGTGTGGCAGTGTTACCTGCTGTGTTACCTGTAGTGTGGCTGTGTTACCTGTAGTGTGGCTGTGTTACCTGTAGTGTGGCTGTGTTACCTGTAGTGTTACCTGTAGTGTGGCAGTGTTACCTGTAGTGTTACCTGTAGTGTGGCAGTGTTACCTGTAGTGTTACCTGTAGTGTGGCAGTGTTACCTGTAGTGTTACCTGTAGTGTGGCAGTGTTACCTGCTGTGTTACCTGTAGTGTGGCAGTGTTACCTGTAGTGTGGCAGTGTTACCTGCTGTGTTACCTGTAGTGTGGCAGTGTTACCTGCTGTGTTACCTGTAGTGTGGCAGTGTTACCTGTAGTGTGGCAGTGTTACCTGTAGTGTGGCAGTGTTACCTGTAGTGTGGCAGTGTTACCTGTAGTGTTACCTGTAGTGTTACCTGTAGTGTGGCAGTGTTACCTGTAGTGTTACCTGTAGTGTTACCTGTAGTGTGGCAGTGTTACCTGCTGTGTTACCTGTAGTGTGGCTGTGTTACCTGTAGTGTGGCAGTGTTACCTGTAGTGTGGCTGTGTTACCTGTAGTGTTACCTGTAGTGTGGCAGTGTTACCTGTAGTGTGGCAGTGTTACCTGTAGTGTTACCTGTAGTGTGGCTGTGTTACCTGTAGTGTGGCAGTGTTACCTGTAGTGTTACCTGTAGTGTGGCAGTGTTACCTGCTGTGTTACCTGTAGTGTGGCAGTGTTACTGTAGTGTGGCAGTGTTACCTGCTGTGTACCTGTAGTGTGGCAGTGTTACCTGCTGTGTTACCTGTAGTGTGGCAGTGTTACCTGCTGTGTTACCTGTAGTGTGGCAGTGTTACCTGTAGTGTGGCAGTGTTACCTGTAGTGTGGCAGTGTTACCTGTAGTGTGGCAGTGTTACCTGCTGTGTTACCTGTAGTGTGGCAGTGTTACCTGCTGTGTTACCTGTAGTGTGGCAGTGTTACCTGCTGTGTTACCTGTAGTGTGGCAGTGTTACCTGCTGTGTTACCTGTAGTGTGGCAGTGTTACCTGTAGTGTGGCTGTGTTACCTGTAGTGTGGCAGTGTTACCTGCTGTGTTACCTGTAGTGTGGCAGTGTTACCTGCTGTGTTACCTGTAGTGTGGCAGTGTTACCTGTAGTGTGGCAGTGTTACCTGTAGTGTGGCAGTGTTACCTGCTGTGTTACCTGTAGTGTGGCAGTGTTACCTGCTGTGTTACCTGTAGTGTGGCTGTGTTACCTGTAGTGTTACCTGTAGTGTGGCAGTGTTACCTGTAGTGT